GAGAATAGAAAGAAAAGAGTCACAATGTAACTTTAGAAAGAGAGGTCAATTTATAAGTGTACTTATAATTGCTGTAAAGAAGATTGGAAGCCACTTCTTTGTATCTTTTTTCTTTCTTTTCTATTTTTTTGCTACTCCTTTTTTGCACCTTTAGTTCTTTTTTCACTCTATTTTAGTTTGTATTAGTCTTATTCTTGTGTTTAAAATTTTCAATAAAATTTTATATATATACACACACACACACACAGAATAATACAGTAATCAGAATACATACCATAGAAAAAAGATACACAGTAAATGCAGAGTGCCATGAACTTTAAAATATAATATAAATTAGATACAATCCAGCCAAGGTTAAGCTTCCTAAGTTTTACTAGCTGTAGTGTGTATGATTTGAACACATGCTCAATTGTCCTACAGAAACTACTGTTCTTATAATTCAGTTTTACTGGACAATAGCAATAACATACAACATGCCCAGCATTAAAAATGCATGCTTATTTAGAGAAGGTAAGAAAGCTTAACAAGTTTATACTAAAAAGTTACTAAATGATTTTAAGCCAGTTTTAATTTGGGCTTATTCACGAAAATATATTATCTCCCTCTACCTCAATTTATTTGTCCATTGTAAAACCCCTCTGCTATATAAACAAATCTCTTTAGGGAAGCAAATCAATAAAGTGTCTAATTTGATTAGCCATGTTTTAAAATTCATCAATGTAACTTAATATAAATAAACTGCTTACTTGTCAGTATTTTCCATGTCTTCTTTTCATCATCGTAATACTGAACCAAATTGCTGGGTAGCCGGTCAGGTCCAGGAGGCAGCCCTCCAACCAATAAAAGCATTTTCTTATTGGAACGAATTCTTCACCCCCAAAAAGAGAGAAGATAAATATCCATGTTATTGGAGAATGTTTTAGCAGTAACAGTCAGAACCCTCATAAGAATTTTCACTGCTTGCAATTTTCTGTTCAATTCTTTTGTTTCTTTTCCTTATCATGTCTCAACAACTTTCTGAATCAAGCAGAAAAAAAATAATCAGAAAAGCTGTGTAGCCTCTACTTATGGAATAATACATTTTCTTTATGCAATTTGTTAAAGGTTCATTCTAGAATGACCTTTTTCTTCATATCATTCTCTTAAATCATCACTCTTTACAGCTGAATACACATGGAATGCTCTGGAGTTGTACTAAGGTTAAGCATTAAAGTTGCATGTCAAAATTGTATTAGTCAAAATTATTATTATAAGCCATTCTAAACCCAAAGAACCTTGAAAAAAAATTAAGGTGATGCCACAGGTGTAAGCTGAGCTCTCTAGGCCCCAAGGGAAACTTCTGAGGTGCCACCCTAGTAGTAGGAGAGCCTGGGTGCCAAGTCCCTGCCAACTCCATCAATCCAAGTTCCATAACTGTTACACTTGCATTCCTAAAATTCTTGTTCCATCATTTTATTTTCCAAGTGTCAGTTTACAGATGCTACTCCTCTTGGAGGACTCTCAGATGAGGGAGGAAAATAAGAAATTGCAGGGCAGGAATGGTAGAATAGCTGGGGGGAAAAGGAGAAAAAAAGGCTGTGCATCAAAAAGAGCATTAAACATTCCTGCTTTTTTCCTAGGTTTTGCAGCTTGAAATCAGAACTGGGGAATCTTAGATCGGAGTGGGATAAAATAAATAACAAATATTTTAAATGGAGTCCATGTGTTACACTTAAGTGTCCAAAGATCACCTTACTATGTAAGAACAGTATTAGACACCTCCCCAATTCACTGTTCCTCTTTTCTGTGCTTCTGGCTGCCCTCTGTTGGTCTCTGCATTTTTGCAGCCCAGATCTAGTAATCATATTTATTGAATGTGTGGGACAAGGATAATTGCAGGAGGTTCCACATGCCTGAGTGCACCAAGTCAGCTGCTTCTCCTGCTTTCGTTATGTTTATACTATTGGGCAGTGCAAAGAATTTGCAAGCCAACTCCTTAATCACACAAGTTAAATTCCAACACACCTGTACAATTAGAAGCATTTTAATAATAGTATATACTGAACTCTATTTAGATCTAAAGAACCTGTCTGTTGCTTACTTTAGCCCGGCCTTCCGCATTTCCTCCGTTCTGCCCCCATCTCACTGCCCCTCCTTTCTTTGGTCTCCCACTGGCTAAAGCAACACCAATTGGTAAAAATGAGACTGTGATGTTGTTGAGAGCCTCCCCAGAGTGGAGCCCTGCCAATGCCTGCCACTGATCCAGCAGCATGAACCTGCTCAACTGTGCAAAGTCACTCTAATTCCCTCCCTCTGTTTTTCTACCTTCTCCCCCAGGGGGCAGCCACTGAGAAGAGTGACTACCCACCCATCAAGAGCTGGCAATTCGCTGCTATTAACCGTGACCGTGATTCCCAATCTGCCTGGCAATTCTTAAGAACAGGGCTGCAACATCTCATAGGCAGTAAAAGCTGTAATATGCACCCTGGCCTCCATCACTATACCTGATGAATGCACATTTCTTTGTAACACTAATGGCTTTAACACAAATTCAAGAGAAAAGAGGAGAGGAGACCTAGACCCCTAGATGAGTACTAATGCTTTAATAGTCACTTTACATATAATTGAGTATCTATCAGTTACACAAAGCCTGGAAAGTAATAAAAATCGAAAAAGGGAATCATGCTAAAGTAATTCATTCTACTACGATGAAAAAAAAATAACATAATATAGACCATAGTATGTGTCCAAAATAATGTATTACTACACAATGCCAGTTTTTGTGCTGCTGACCTACTTGAGATTACTGGGGTTAGCCTCTATTCTTCACTGTATTAATCCTTCACACACCTGTATTCATTCTTAACAGAGTTTCTTTCCATTCATCATTTTGCACTGTGACTGAATCATCTGGCACATGTGGAAAGAGGGCAACATTTCTGATGTGTGTATTTGGTGATAATGATACTGATGATGATGATGATGATAATAATAATACTCCGAGAGCTTCATTACCAATGTCAATGTGCTGCAATATCTAAAAGGTTCACTAACACATTAATGTACATGTACATAATTGGCACAGTAACCTACTAAAAACAACCAGGCAAAGTAAGGAAATTTGTAATGCTTTCTGTACAGCCTATAATTATTATGTTAAGAATGAATTAATAACAGCTAAAACATAAAGTGCTTAATGAGAAAGCCTTCGGGAATATGCAAAAGGTGCTACTTTAATGTTAGCTAACATTTATGCCAATGTATCATAATATGATACATATCATAGTACATAATAACATACCCCTGCCAAAATTATGCCACTCATTACTTTGTCTTGGGATGGTATTACACTGAGCCTAAGATCAGGCAGCTGCCCCAAGAAAACTCTGCTCATGTCCAAAATACTATGTATCCCTTTTGCCTATGCCATTGATAGCTTTTGATGGGACATTCCCACCGTGTTCTTGTTTAAAACTAGGTTCAGAAAATTTTCCTCTAACTCAGTAAACAGGTCCATTTTTGTCATTTGAAATTATGGTTCTGGAATGAAACAGCGTTAGATCCCTCCCCTTTCCCCATCAGCCTACTTTCCCCACAGCTCCAGCTTCCTCTCTACTCTCCAATATCCATGCTAATACAGCTCTATTTGGCTCCAAGGAGCACTGAACAAAACCGTTTGCCCAGCACTAGTGGCATTGGAAGCAGTATTTCCAGCACTCCTTGCATTTCGGCACACAGATACAGCATTGTGCTAGACATCAGAAAGGGGAAGGAGGAAGAAGGAACAGTCTCCCTTTGCCTTTGTCATTACTATCATAAAAGCAACATCAAAGCTAAAGATGTTGGCCATCTTACAATACACAATTCAATAGGGAAATACCTAATCTTATTTATAAAAGTAGCTTCAATTCTCATGAAGGTTATTCCAGTATGCACACATGAGTATATGAATTGAAGAAAGGTGCTTAGTATTAGTTTTCTTACCAGTCTATTTTTGATCATCATTAAGATTGTCTCTTATAATACACCGTTAGGTGTATAAAGAAACCTAATATAAAATAGCCTTAACAAAGTTAGTAAATGTAGAATTGGGATCATTTTGACCTTCAAGTTCAGAATCAATCCAGCAGGACCATCTTCAATCTCATGACTGAATCATGAAAATTTCCTTATGCTTCAAATTCTTTGTCTAGGAGGTAGATCATAATATTTTTTAAAATGGGAGATATGGATGGCTAAATATATTACAAGAGCCTGAGCCATGTTAAGACATAAGTCACTTAAGCATTGTCATCCTTAATGAGCAAATAAATAGTTTATTCCAATCTCCTTGTGAAGCGTGCTCTATTTCTATCACAATTAACTTTAGCTATTTTTTAAAATTCAAAACAATATGCTAAGGTTGGCCAATAAGGAAACTAATTTCAATTTTGTGTTAGTTTTTTACATTTCAATCTCACCCAAATTACCCTTTCCAGGCCTCAGAGCAAGGGATAAAGAACAATACAAGTTCATTTGTCTTAGATGTAGAATAAAAGTTAACAATTTGTTCTGAATAGCACAGTGTGCAGTATATGCTTGAAACCAACCAAAAAAGTACACAAGTTTTAGTGTCATGCACACAAGCACAGACTTCCAAAATTAGCTGAAAACTTTTTCAGCTATCTGTTCAGTGTAGATGAATGAGTAGAGGATCAGAATTAATTAAAACCAAATATCCACGGTCACACACCTGTATTCAACCGCATCCATTGTGCTGATAGATTCCAATCTACTTAGATATGCACACAGAAGCCTATTTCTTCCCATTGAGAAGCATGTTTGGAAATAAAATCACTGGGAACTCTTTCTAAACAAGCACATTTAAGAACTGACTCTTCATTTAATTAAATAAGCCTATTTTACCAAGACTATCAGATTAAAATTTCACCATAGTCATAGATTCACACGCACAAGGCACTATCTTCAATTTATCCTACATAAAAGTGGGAATGCTTAATATTATTAGGTATGGATTTGGAAATGGATTTAAATCTCACCCATTTAATGAATGTCTGATGGTTTAGACAAAAGATTATAAAAGGCTACTGTAATAAAATATAATTAACTGTAACAGAGATTAACAGAATAGGCACCACTCTAATCTACAATTAAATCGCAGTAAAGACCTGCAGGTTGAGTCAGTCAACCAACTTCGAAAGATGAAAGAAACCTGAATCAGGGATGCAGCTAAAATCCTTAACACACTGGCAAGCTTCATACAGATCTTATCTTCAGATCATGGACATATTATATAAAAACCATAGCTTAAATAAAACAAAAAGGAAACTCATTAAGAACTTTCAGTATTAGCACAGCATCTGTTAGTTAATATTCTAGTTACAAAAGGCACTATAAGCTATAGATGTCACCATCAATGTCAATCTATAACAAATGCCTCTATAACAAAAGCTAGTATTTTATAAATGCCACTGCTGTACCTGGATTACATTAAAAAAAACTGTTTTCATCAGAGTTATAATGATATCTTATTCAAATATTCTGTGAACATAATTTAGATATTTCATTTAAGTATTAAAAATATGGCTAAAGAGATGGAACACTTCCCACATGTTTTTGATACGCCAGTGCTTGCAATTCCTATCCTAACTATAGTACAGGAGGCTACTGTATGTCAGTAGTATCAAATACTTTCAAGAGGTCAGCAACAATGCAGAGTCACATTTTCTCTGTCCTCTCAACCATTATTGTTTATCAGAACCAATATTTAGGAACAATTTCATACTTTCCTTTCTCAACAAGTCAGTCCTTATCGCTCAAATCCAATGTTGCCAGCCATTTCCTATATAAGATACATATAATCTGCCAAGAAGGAAAGGGAAGATAGTA